GCAAAGTTTGGTCCTAAATCTGCTGCCTGAGGAGTGGACCCTGCAATTTGTGTCCTGGGGGATCAGCTGTCTCCCCACAGAGAGCAGTGAGGTGGGGAATTCAACCACAACCTTTATTTCTGGAAGGACTTGGTTGCCATGGGGCCACTTGAAAAGCCACACACACAAATGTGCCTGTGCTGAGGCGGGATCAGGTCCTTGGAAACCATCCGGAGAATAACAGGCAGGAACACAGCTGGTGTGTGAGAGTGCACAGGGAACTTTCATCACTTTCAGATGCTGCTCTGTGTCTATCTTTAAAAATCAGTAAATTTTTTGATTAAAAATAAAACCCTACACGTCATGACTCCAGCAATGTGGGCTGGCCTGTTGTGGTATTTATTTTTAAAGAGAACAATATAGCAGCTGAGTTATTGTGACACCTCCTGCATGTTGTGCAGTAGCTTTTTCACTTCAGCATCTCCATATTAGTGGAAACTGTGACAGCTTCATGCCAAGGATTATTAATAGTGCAGGCAGGCTTTGTGTTCCGACAGAATAAAGGTCGGAAAACAGGGCAGACAGTCTTCCCCCAGCGGGCTGGCCTCCTGCTCCCCCATTTTACATGTAGAGAAACTGAGCCACCCCAGTTCAGGCTCTGTTCAGTGGCAGAGAGATGCAGTTTGTAGTCAGGGTGTGCAGGAGACCAGACCGGGTCATTGTTGTCCTCTTCCCCCATCCTGGAGCAGGCACGGGTGCCCTGCTCACACTGCCCTGCACTGCCATCCCTCCCCTTGCAGCAGCTTGCAGTTGCTCCATTCCAAGCGGGAAATGAAATGCTCCTTTATTGGCTTTTCTGTTGGCTACAAAATGTTCCATTTTATCTTTTTTTTTTCCCCCTCCTTACATTCTTCCAGGAAACACACTGATTTATGGTATAATCTTGGCAAATCCCAATCCAGGGGAACACAAACTCGCTTGTGCCTGGTAAATGACTTTTTAATGGGCCTATTTCCAGCCGGGAATGCATCTGCATCTGAAGAAGGGGGAATTCTAGCCTTGCCCAGGCAGTAGCCTATGTGTGTCAGTGGGGGTCAATACAGTCTGGCTGGAAAGCAGGAGCAACTTCCTGCTTGGAGCTGGTGCAGGACCAGACCTCTCCTGTGCCTCCATACTGGTCTCCTGTCCACAGAGGGAAGATCTTGCCATTGCTCCCACTTCCTGTGAGATGGCAGGTTTAGGGACATCCTTACTCATCTGGCCACTGGACTGGAGCCTGGTTACCCAAGGACCAGGAGTTTATATTTTGCATTGCTAATGGAGCAATAAGCCGTCCCAGTCCCTGGTCCCAGCCAGAAGGATTTGTACAGGGATGTCCTAATGGAACCAAAGAAACTTCCTATTCGTTCCTAAAAGGAGCAGTCTAACAAATCTGCCAAAAATAAATCTGTATAATGAAGAGCCTTTGTAAATTATTCAGATATTATATTCCACTCCAGCACTGATTCAAGGAGAGAGGTTGTACAGACATTTTCTTCTCTGAAGCTCTGGACACAAGGTGAAATCCATGCTGTCTTTACAATGAAAATGTAGGCTCCCCATATTCAGACGTCTGAGGTATTTTATAAGGCACAGTGGTTGGCAGCTTGTGGGCTATTAGCCACAGCTGGCCCCATGCCATGCTACTGGGGCTCACAGACTTCTCCCTTCCTCCCTCCCTGCTTCCCCAGCCCCTCTTTGCCAGCAATGGGGCTGGCTTCTGCTTTGCCCAGCCCTGCAGTTTGGCTCTGGCCTGCAGTTCCTGCCCACCGGCAACCCTGCCAGTTCCATGCTGCCTGGCTGGGCTGGGGAGGAAGGCCCCCTGCCACATCCAGGTCAGTGCTGGTGGGATCTGAGGCCACGCTGTCCCTTATCATGGGGATTATTGGCTTTTTATATTAAACTTTTTCCAGAGAGCATAATACAATCAGCCAGACATGAGGCAAGGGCTGGGCAGGTCTGGGAGTGATTTACAAGCGATCTGCCTCTGCAGTATTTTTCACATAAGGGGCTGTTTCCTCCTCTCCCTCACCACCTCCCAACTCTCCTGCTGCCATTATGAGCCACACAGGTCTCCCCCCAGCAGCAAAGAGCTGCGATGAGCACTGGGGCTGCACGGGCAGCACAGGCTCGCAGGGAGGTGAGGAGGACCTATGGCAGCCAGCACTGCCCGCCCCACGAACATGGCACCAGCAGTGCACAGGTGCCATTCAACAGAGCTGCCCCTCGCCCCCCGTCACTGCCCAGCACTGGCCCAAATTCCCCACCCACACCAAGAAGAAAAATGGGAAACAGCCCCTGGATGTGCACAGCCAGGAATGGCTCGTAGGCAGAAAGGGCCTTTCTCCAAGAAAAGCCTTGGTCTGGGCAGGCTTTTTACAGCTGGTAAAACGTTTCTACCTTTTGTGATCCCACTTTATCAGTGATTTGAAATAATTGGGTTCCATTTCTCATGGTGGCTGACCCCCACCCCTCCCTTCTGCTGTGGCCTATGTTTTTGCTGCAGACTGATTAGGGGTAATTATCCTTTTTACCAGCCAAAGTGCAAGGAACAGTTCACACTCCTTGCAGGAAGTAGAAAAGGGATTTTGCAGCTGAGCTGTGATTAGGAAGCACATAGCAAGGATGCCTGAATCTGCATGCTCCCTGGACAGGGCTGGGTCAGTATCAAGCTCCAGAGAAGGACTTAGCTCTGGGTGGTGGCCCTGAGGCATTTGGTGGGAGATAAGCAGGAAATTTGGAGCTATAACATGGTCGGGAGGTCCAGGGGAATCCACTGTCCCTTTGGCCATGAGGAGGTTCCTTGGACAATTATTTTCCAGAAGCAGCATGTGAATCCCTCTGCATATGAGGCCCAGACTGAGTCTGACGGTGGGAGTGATCCACAGGGGCTGGAATGGGCAAAGGAGTGGCTTCTTGACCAGGCCCACTTGTGCCGTGGGCATGGCAAGGAATCTCACCTCTCTCATCTCGTTCCCTTGAGGGACAAAGGGAGGAACGAGATAGCAATTTTAAGGTCAAAGGGATCATTCAGGCTTTCCTCCTGCCTCGTGTGAGGCAGGTAATCTCTCCTGGCCACCCTGCACCAACATTCCTCCTGCTCCTGTACAGGACCAGTGTCCATCTACTGCATGGGAGCTTCATCAAATGAATATTTGCCACAATTTCTGAGATTTGCACAGGGAAGGCAGATTACTACACCCTTGAGAGTCTTTCTGTACTTGGCTAGTTCAGCAGCGCTCCTCCAGGTAGGGAGAACATTTCTTCCTGACCTCAATTTATGACAAACACTGAAGCATGAGGCTGGATTGATTGCACAAGGAGATTGTGTCTTAGTAACTCATGTGAATGCTGCAGCAGCTATGCTAATTCATCATTTCTTTATTTATGAAATCTGTGTGCAGGTTGAGTGCAATTAAATGATGTGCTTTGGGATCCTAGGGGATGAAAGGATCATGGAAAATGTAGGTTTGTTATCCTAGTTTACTGCGCGCCGAGCCCACCTACAACAGCATGACAAACCAGATGTGAAACACAAGGTTTAAAAAAACTAATCCAGCAATTGCTGTCACAGGCTGTATTTGTCAGCGTGTTTGATCTCAGTGCCTTTCCCCTACTTTTCAGAGAACTCAAATCTCTTTGTGGCATCTTCCTGTGACAGACAATTGAAGATCTTGTAAAACTAATTTTGGGGGAGGCTGAAACATTTGTCACCTGCTCTGCAGGCTCGGTCCCCGGTCCCCATCAGCAACCAGAGAGCAGTGGGTGATGCCTGACCCCGCGTGCAGGGGGACCCAGTGCCCGTCCCCCTGCGCTGCCGCTGCTCTGCCCGGGCCCGGCCGCGCCCCCGCCCCGCACCTCGGCAGGGAGCAGGAGCGGCCCCCACGGGGCCCCAAGGGCTGTTCGGGGGGCCCGGGTTCGCCGCGGGTCTGACCCCAAACGGTTCAGCCGCGAGGCTGGAATGTCCGCTGGGCAAAGGCTTGGTGGCAGCAGCACCCGCGCTGCCTGTGCTCTCTCGTTCTCATCGCTGGCAGAGCACTCCTCTGCTTCCTCCTCCTCCCCTCCGCTCCCTGGTGATGCTCCCCGCTTTGTTTTGACGTTGCTGTGCGCTCTGAGCCTTGGTCTTTCCTCCAGACTCCTGAGGGTGAGCTACCAGGGCCTGTGTGTGATTCCCCAACTCCCATCCCGCTCCTTGGGATGGGGCAGCTGCCACACCCTGGACACAGAATCACAGAACAGACCAGGTTGGAAGGGACCGGTGGAGCTCATCTGGTTCAACCTCCCTGCTCAGGCTGGGTGCCCTGAGCATGTTACTCAGGATTGTGTCCAGACACATTCCTCCTTTGAATATCTCCAGAGAAGGAGACTCTGTAACCCTTCCGGGTAACCCATTCCAGTGCTTGGTCACCCACACAGTAAAGAAGTTCTTCCTCGTGTTCAGGTGGAACTTCCTGTGCATCAGTTTCTGCCCACTGTCCTATTGCTCAGTACCACTGAGCAGAGCCTGGTCCACCCTCTTGATACTCTCCCTTCAGATACTTATGGACTTTGATATGATCCCCTCTTGGTGTTCTCCAGGCTGAACAGGCCCAGCTCCCTCAGCCTGTCCTTATAACAGAGATGCTCCACTCCCCTCACCATCTTTGCAGCCTCTGCTGGACCCACTCCAGGAGCTCTGTGTCTATTTTGTCCTGAGGAGCCCAAAACTGGACCCAGTGCTGCAGGTGATGCCTCACCAAGGCTGAGGAGTGGGGCAGAATCACCTCCCTGACCTGCTGGCAACGCCTGCTCCCCTCTGCTCCCAAGCATCTGGAACTCACAAACACCTAAGAAATGGGGCCAGAATGAAAAAAAGGAATGGTACTTTGAAATGTCTGCAGTGCTGCCCAGCATGGTGTGTCTGCACCTTGCCCGTCCTGAGCACTTCTGTCAGTAGAATAATTTTGCCAAAGCAAAATGACTCCACCTCCTTAGCCAGAGATCAGTGTTGAGAGAGTACCAGTCCTCTCAGCTGTGGGGCACCTGGAAGAGAAAGAGAACATAAGAATAGGAGGTATTGATGCTGTGAAAGGCCAAACTATGGATAAACCACTTATAAGGAAAAGGTTAGAATCTCCTTTTAATTGAGGCAAAGAGCTCATGAGAATAGCACAGACATAAGAGGAGCAGGTGGAATTTAAGTGGAAAACAGAACCTGTTGTTTGTGTGTATCTCGTGTTTCTGTCTCACAAGGTAGGGACTGGCAAACCACGGAATAAGCCAGGCAGGTAACAATGAAGACAGGTACATAACAGCTCTATCATGCTTTTTTGGACCTTCAAAAAGACTGGTTAGATACAGACCCATAGGCAGAGTAGATGTGGGAAGGTGAGTGAGCCCAGCCCAGGAGGTGTGGGAACATGAATACAGACAGAATGGGTGGTGTTGGGTGTCTGTAAGAACTCCAAAATACCAGCAGAAGCACCTGCAAAGAGAAGACAGAGACTTGGAAAACTGAGTGGTTCAGTTAGTTTAAAGTCAGACAAAGAAACAACACCAGATGGAGTAAGAGAAAGCATGACAAGCAGGGGGAGAGAAAGGTGGGAAGAGACTTCTCCTTTGGAAAGTTAAGGGTGTATCTGTTTATCTTGCCGCATGGAATATGCAGAGGTCTTGCTTTGCCTACTCCCCTCCTTGTGGGAGGAAAGATGTGAAACAAAAGGCACGTACTACAGCACTTACAGATCCATTGGACTGGGATGGAGGGGACCCTGCTGCATCAGGGTACCCAGCCATCCCAGTACAGTTTGCAACAGCTGGAGCCCTGGCATCTGTCTAAAAGGAAGATGGGAGCTGCAGCATGTAGATTTTGGCAGCACCTGCTGCTGCGTGTTTTGGCCATGGTAAAAAGAATCTTCTGATTTTCAAGTGTTCTATCTTTCTGTACGGAGGGTTATGTGGAGAGCACATGGCTGGCTGGGGCACACTGGCACCAGGTTTAAATGGAGCCAGGGGGACCTGGGCAGCCATGCAAGGAGGGCAATGGGTGTGCAGCCACAGGTGCTTGCAAGAGGGGTGTGCATATGGGGAATCCAGAGGCAGGTACCCAGAGAGCTGCTCTGACAGATAAAGCTGCACAGGCAGCAGAAGGATGAATGTAAGGATGTGGCATGGAGGGGATGTATCAGGCTGCCAGCTGGAGCACCTGGTACAGGTCAACAAGGACCTACTGGGAAGTAATGAGGAAACCTGGGTTAAAGCCAGCGCTGAGACCCCCTGTGGGGAGAGACACAGAGTGAGGAAGGCCTCTGAGGTGGCACCCACAGAGCTCACCCTGACAGGCTCTGTCCTCGTCAGGCTCTAGTGGTTCGTGGTCAGGGGACAGCAGCAGCCACAGCTTGGGAGAGCTGGGCTGGCACCGCAGGGCCTCAGCGTTCTCCTCCTTTGCACCGAGGGCTGCCGCAGCTGTAGGCGGCCAGGCTGGCCGGGTCCGCGGGCCTATGGCTGAGACGGGTCCTTCCCACTCAGGGTCGGGCCTGCCTGGCCTCGGGCACCCACGGATGCCCCGCGCGGTGCGGGAGGAGCCGCATCGTCCGGGGCCCGGGCCCGCCCTGCGCCGTCGCACCACCGGCCGCCAAGGCCCTACAGGCCCGGTGGGGTCCGGCCATGGGCCCGTGGAGGGCGGGGGGTGGCAGCGGCTCTGCGGTCACGGGAGCGCCCCGGCCCTGCTCGCCCCACCATAAAGCCCCCGGTCCGCCACCTTCCCACAATGCCCAGCGGCCCCGCCCCGCTCTGGGAACTCTCGTCCAAGCGCCCTCCCCTCCCCGCGCTCGGCCAACCAAACCCGCGCTCCCATTGGCCGCGGCGCCACGTCCCGCCGGCCGGGGCCCGCCCCGCCGCGCGCCGCGCTCGCCCATTGGCGCCGACCGCTGTCAGTCAGCGCTTGTTTTCAGCGGCAGCGGGTTGGGTTGCGCCGGCTCGGCGGTGTCTCGGCGGGGCCGTGCGGAGGGAGCGGCGGCGCAGCCGGGCGGGAGCGGCGCGGGGGCGGCGGCGGCGGCGGTGGCAGTGGCGGCAGTGGCGCTGGGCCCGGCCGCAGCACTCGGGGCCGGGACGAGCCCGGGCCGGGCCGGCGCCGCGCAGGGAGGGAGGGTGGGGAGGGAAGAGGGCGCGGGGCCGGGCCGGGCCGGGCCGGGCTCCCGGCCGTGCGGAGGACGGTGGTCGGTGCCGGGGGGGTGGGGGGTGGGCGGGGGCGTCCCGGCCGCGGCGCGACCATGACTCTGGAGTCCATGATGGCCTGTTGCCTGAGCGACGAGGTGAAGGAGTCGAAGCGCATCAACGCCGAGATCGAGAAGCAGCTGCGGAGGGACAAGCGCGACGCCCGCCGCGAGCTGAAGCTGCTGCTGCTGGGTGAGGAGCGCGGGGCCGCCGCAGGGCCTGGCCCGGGGCTCGGCAGGTCCGGGTGGCCGGGCCAGGCGGGGAGCGGGTGTGGCGGGTAAGCGGCGGGAGCCATCACCGCCTCAGCCCGGCGCTCGGGGCCGCTCCCGAGCCGTGCGGGGCGGCCGCCTCATTGGCTGCCCTTTGTTTGATTTTGTGATGCGTTCGCTGTCAAAATGGGTTTTGACATAAGCAGGAACTAAGTAGCTGAAATTCCTGGTTCCGAAGGCGGGCACGCACACACACGCGTGAAATTCGTCTCGAGGAAGCGGTTCTCGGGGCGTGCTGGCCTTCGCTGGCATGTGAAAATTTGCTGATGGAGTTGATGGTTTCCAGTATTGTCGGTGAAATCCTGGGCCTTGAGTGAAAAATTGGCCTCCGGCTCCTAAGCCACAGAGTTCCACTTGTACAGCCCTGGGAGAGCGGCAGGGCTGGCAGCGTGGTGTAGTGGTTCTGAAGTGGCAGGAGGCAGTAAGAATGCAGGAGTTGTGTGTTTGATGAGGAAATGTCTGTAGAGTTTAGCATTGCCCTCAAAGGAAGAGATCAGCTGTGCAGCCATAAGAATCTAGGTCTTCATATGGAAACGTAGTAGTGTTGTCTGTGCAGATGGAAAACTGCTGTGTTTAGGTGAGTGTATAGGGATGGGTAATCAGTTGCCAGAGCAGCCAGTGAAGATTGCAGGCATGTACATCTTCTTCAGCAGGGAGTTTGATGTTCATGTCTAGGTAGCCCCCAGATTTAAACTTAACTTACAGTTTTCATGGGTACTGTGACTTATCATTGCTTGTGTCTTAAATGTATTCTGCTTTGTAGCTTAAATACTGTGTCACCTTAAGCTGAAATCTGAAGCAGATCTGATGGATTGAGTTTATTCACTTGGGGTCTGTTGACAAGCCATTAAGGTACAAATGAAGCTGACCCTTGTGAAAACAAAGGTAGCACTTTGCAGAAGTGAGGGGGGGCTGTGTATGCCCAGCCCTTTGAAGGGCTCCAGTGGTGCCTGGTGATAACTGTTCAGTGAAGGCCACGGTTGTCCTTCTCACTGCAAATCTGTCATAACTGATGTGTTCCTGTTCTTCAGGTGAAAAGTAAAATCGAGGGCTTGACGTTTCTGCTCTTCAGAGATGCTGTGACAGTTTCTGTAAGGCTTGTAGATGAGGGAGGGTGTCTCTCTCATGCTTCCCTAAAACAGTTCCACAGAAGCAGCTGTTTCAAAATAGGCTGGCACTATAGAATAGATCTGGGTTAAGAAGATCCCACTGGATCTAAAGATTTCACTTTAGAAATAATTCAGATTGCTTGAGAATCCTTTCTGCTTTTCTGAAAGGTACAGCTAAGTAAGATTCAGTGTCAAATAAAAAAAATAAATTACATGAGGTGGTTATTATTGGATAAGCAACATTCCTAGTGGTAGACCGTGTTTGCTGGATGCTTTTCACTGCATACAGCACATTACCCACTTTCAACTGAGGCAGGCAACGTGTTTTCTCTCCTTGGTATAACTGCTGCTTGCAGGGATTTCTTCTGTGTTGCTCCTGTCATGTGGAGTTCTAACATTCACAAGTATTAATGATTGAATTAGTAAGAGGGCTTTCCCAAATCTCCAAGCTTTTGAGTGTATAGAAGGAGTTTTCACCTTGTAGAAATCATGTTAAATTTTTCTTTTCACTTCGTCTAATGACAGTTACTTTGCTAAAGCCTAAAACAGAAAATTGGCCTGAATAACAGTGCTAATCAGTGATGAACCTGGTAATAAGAAATTCAAGGTGTTGGACATTGCCCTCTGGTATAAGGTAGTCATTTGTGATTTTACTGGGTGAGGAGAATATTTTGTACAAAAATTGCTTGTGATTAAGCATGGGATACTGTTGACTGAGTAATGTATTTACAAGTGCCTGTGAGGTACTTGGGGATCATTAGTAAGTTATTGTAAACTCTGCTGCTTTCACGTGTTGATAGAAGAAACAGTGAATTCAGATTATCTCCTTTCCCAACGTTGTCATATTAAAAGGGGGTTTGTGCCCTTACAGCTGTAGATCTTGCCTGCTAGAGCTTGTAACCTGCTGGTGTAGTGCTGTGCTGCATTGTCAGTGGCCTTGGGGAAAGCAAGAGGCACCTTTTTAAAAAAATCAAAACAAACAATAACAACCAACCCGCCTCCCCCCCCAACAAAAACAACCCCTGAACCAAAAAAGGGAGGATGATGGAGTGACAGGAAGAGTCTGTGTTTGAACTCTCTATAAGTTCTGAAGCAAGCAAAGGTCTGGTGCTGAGGTTTCTCTTATGGTTTCGTTGTTGAAATGCTTCAAAGCACTACCATTTTGTTTTGGTTTTCTTTTTTTCCCCTTTCAGTTTTGGTCACTGTGGTAAAAGACAAGGAAGTATTTCTCACCACGGTGAGAGAAACCAGAAAAGATTTCAGTTTCCAAATTTTCCCCCACTTAGGGTATACCTTTCTGTTTGAGATGGAGATAGTTTGCTCCATATTAATAGTATTTCCAATGTTAATTTCTGGCTATGCTGACATAATTCCTGACTATGCTGACATGATTTCTGTCAGTTCTTGCTGTTTATTTCAAACATTCTGCTTCTAGTTAGGTGCTTGCTGCTTTTATCTGAGCATATTTATTTGTTTGTTTTCCTTTTAGCCCACCAGGATAAACATGTAACTGAGAATCTACATGTGAGTAGTAGCTGTGTACAGGGATGAATGAGATCCAGTCTGAATCCATCTCTCCCCTGATGTGAGAAGTACCTGGTGGTGCCTGTGGTGAGAACCAGGGCTCTGCAAGCGTCCTTATTTTTAACTGCAGATCAAAAGGACTTGTCATTGATGGGATACAGTTGAGTTTTTGCTCTCAGTAGCCAAGTGAGCCGGGCTACTGTGTTAGAGCACTGTTTTTTCTGTGTATCCTGCACATTGATAGCAACTTTTAGAAGGTTGAACAAAAGCACTCAACAGAAATGTCAGTGGTATCCCCTTAGGCTGTTGCTCATGGGGTGAAGTGTGGAGGTAAGGGAGTCCTTGGCCCATGTGTCCCCTCCACAAAGGACTGTGTGTGCATGGAGCAGATGTTGCAGGGAACTTCCCACAACACCAGTTGAATTGTGAATGTCACAGGGCCGTGTAACTGTGTGGGTACTGTCTGATGGTGTACTTACTGTGCTAGAAAAGTTCCCACTGTCCTTTTATATCACCTGTTGGACTTCACATGTTAAATGGCACTTTTCCGGGGCCATAAATGTAGGAGTGGAAGGACCTGCCCAAGTGACAGTGCAGGAAGCCGGCGTTGGAAGGGCTGGACTGTGTAATGCACATGCTGTGTCCTGCCCTCCCATCTGCTCCGAGGCCCCACAGTGAACCTGTGTCAGGAGGAAGCGGAGGCCTTGCTGAGCAGGCTGCAGCCGAGGGGATCCCTGGGGACCCCAGCACAGCACCGGCAGCTCTGAGCAGTGGCCTACTCTGCTCTCCTGTCAGCCACCATCTTTAACTCTCTCGTCCTCAAGGGCTGTGAGCTGGATCAGATGCACTGGGTCACAATCGGGATTGTTGTTTCTGTCCTTGGGAGCAAACTTTACGTTTGCACAGTAGTTTGGGATATGAGGCAGACACGCTGATTAAGTTGTTTGTGTCAGATGGATAAGCAAATAGTTTCTTGAGCTCCGTTCTCCTTTAGAGTTGGGTTTTTTTCTGTTGTGTTCAGTTCTTTCCTATGAAAAGACATGTAGTCTATCAGGTAAAGAGCATTCTGTGCCAAGTTACAGCAAAAGGAAATTCACTCTTCTGCTGTGCAGTTGGGCTTCCCCTGGCACTCGCTGTCATCTGGGTCTGTAGTGCTTTGCTAGCTGAAGAGCATGCCCAGGCTCTTCCTGGCTGGTGCCGTGGTTGTAGCATCTTGCTGGAGTATCTGGGAATAGGTCAGGTGTGACGGACAAGGGCCTCTTGACGCAGAACGTGTGGGAGTGGCTGTAACATGAGATTTGGAATAAGTACCAGGGCTGCTTTTGAGGGCTTCTGTAAAGGACAAGCTTCCATGCTGTCAGGTTCGTAGTGGGGATGAGCAGCCCTACCCAGACTGTCTTTTTACCGTTCTGGAAAGCAACAAAAAAAAGTGGCTGGGAGTAGTGTGTGCTTGGTTATAGTAATAGGAACTTTGGGGTATGAAGTGCCTGCGTTCTTCTGTTGGGATCCTTGCTTGTGATGGCTCCTAATGCA